GTGTCCTTCAAACTAGTCTCTGCACCTTTACCAGCTTTGAGAACACTTTCATGATCAATCATTATAAAACATATCATATATATTATTCTGAAATGGACCAATCTGCACCATGACTACTTTTGGTACTTTAAGTATATTTTGATAATACATGTCTACTTTTACTTGAGTAACATTTTGAATGCAGGACTTCTACTTGTAACCGAGTATTCTTACACTCTGCTACTTGCACTTTTACTTAAGTACAAGATCCTAGTACTTTGCATGTTCAGCATTGTAAACCCCTAACATAACACACTGAATGATGAACAGTAACCCAGGGTTCTGTCCCCCATTAGTGTTTAATGTGCCTGTCAAATATTTGTCCTTGAAGCTGCTCTGTGACCTTGCATACACCATTGCTGAATTCATTAACCGACCACAATAGCTCACTTACTGCTGGATTCAGCCCAACTGTTGATTTGTCATTGCCTGTGGTCAGAGAATAGTCCAACTGTAGCTGAAAACTGAATTAGGGCTGTGCAGAATGTCTCGTCCTGAAGTGAGCATTCTTCCCTGCTGCAGGACAGATAAGACTGGTATTTCATCTAACCTTGCATGTTGAAGTGAAGTATTGTACCGCTTTGACACATGCATTAACAGAGCTTTTGTGAAACCACAGCTTGGTGTTTCTGTCTGAATTATGCATGAAAGACTTGGAGTGTGTCCTTTGCACACGGCACAGTAACGCCCTCACCTTGTGACTGCACAGCTCTCTCCTGGAGCAGAAACGTATGCAACTTTTGTTATATTGACTCAAAGATCTGAAGTCAGAGCTGATCTTCAAAGTACCAAGTGCGTCATATCTGTGCTCATGGTGGAACCCTGTGAGTGTGGGAGAGAAAAAAAGTGTGTTCGTGTGTCACATGCATAGCTGGTCACATGCTTTGGGTTTTTTAATAGAAAAGCCAGAGTGAAATTGCAGTTAATTAGCACAATTCTGTAGAGATGCTGCATTTCGACTCTCAGATCCACACTTCTCACATATTTCTCTGTTGTTGCATATTGACATGTTTTAGTAAGAAAACTCAATGATCATGCAGTGTCATCCCATCTAGATATGTCGTTGTTGCTTTCCACGACTAATAGATTTGTCTTAAAGATGCGTGAAATGTTTATCAATAATTGCTAAAATGCTCACTGAAACACAGCCCTTTGGACCCTCATTTACACTTTACTAAATATCAGTAGGTATTGGTAATTTGATTTACTGTACATATAATCCTTAAGAGTACCTGGGGATACACACGATGCACAGTGGGCAGTAGATGTGGGCTCAAAAGGATCCAACAGCAGAATTTAGCCCCGACAGGTTGACCTGGGCCTGTCTGTTGTGGCCATGGTTGGAACCGCAGTTCAAATGGCACCAACTGGCCAATTAACAGTCTTCTCTTTTCAAAATGAAATGATTACAAAAGAAAGTGTTCTGAGTTGAGTATTTTTTCTTCTCTAGCTGCACAAGAGGACCGTCCACAGTGTGTACATAATTCAGCCCAAAAAGAAGGATGTTGTGAAGCTGTTGCTGAAGCTCCTGGCTCCGTCAAAGTGCTACACTGCCTCATTCAAGGTGAAGGACACCACACACGCTGTCCCCCTGGATCTGATTTTAGATTTGATTCAGTAGGTAACGCTGTTCTCATCTTTTTGCAGAAAGTCCTTCTGAAAGAAATCTCAGAGCTCTCCAACTACATTGACCGAAGCCAGCTAACGCCATCGCTGGGCGGCTACTTCATGTACTGCCACCAGAGCTGGGTGGCCTTCATTAAGGTAACATTTGTTGTGTCATACCTCTGTTAATTGCTATAACCTTGAATGCCTCCAAGGGTACACTCATGCTGCAGGGCTAAGTGTCCAGCAGCTAAGACTAGTTTCTAAAGTCTGGGCTGTCCGAGGGTAATGCGTGTTTTCTTAAATCTGGCTTTGTGTACTCTAGTGAGGGGCCCAGCCCTTCGTATGTTTTTCTGTATGTGGCTCTCATTGAAAAATGTTTGGACGCCCCTGAGCTAAAAACTTGGAAGAGCTGTGTGATACTGATATGCGAGTGACTCAGGACAAACCTCCTGAATCTGTCTGATGATCAGGAAGAGGGTTGAACACAGTGTAACATTGTTCTGCTGTGTACTCGCAAACACACCCTCACTAACACTCATACACTGTGTTAATGTGACTTACAATACTACAGCCAAATATTTATTCCACCTATTTGTGTTTGAAGTATTGCTCCTCTGTGATGAAGAGTAGTCTCCTCTCACATGTGAGGATTCATTCATGAGTCTTCCCCATCTATTGTTCGTTACCGTGGTGAAGCTTGTGCAAATGCCTCGTGTGATCAGCTGACCCTATTAGCAAGTGAAAGGAGCCCCCCCTCTTCCTATTACATTATACATTCATTCATGTTCATCTGGGGCATTGGGCCATGGTGACAGCATGCATTCACAATTGCAGCTCTCTGCCTATAGGAGACCTATTCAGGAGGATAACCTGCTTTATCTGCGCTAGGCCTACATTTGGGTTCAGGGTGTTGAGTGATTGCAAAAACTTATGCTGTGCGAAAATCATTCAAGTCGGGGGCTGTTGGTGCACATAGAGTGTAACTAACAATATCACAACAAATAAGAACATTTCCCAAACGTATCACACTTGCCCCTGATGGCTGCCATTAAACCTAATCAAATAAATAAATGATTTCAAATGGTACGTGGACCAAATAACATGTTTTGAAGCGCTTTTACATATACAGCATTCACACACATTCACTGGCAGCGGCTGCCATACAAGGTGCACCCACTAAGCCAGGGGTCACCAGCCTTTCTTAGGATGAGAGCTACTTTCACAAAATAAAACGAGTCGTGAGTTGCTTTTACTACTCTTTTTTTTGTTTTTTGCAGTGTACATATTTAGCACATTGAACCACAGCCATTCACAATAGTCTTAAAGAGGTGGAAGAAGTACTCTGATCTTGTACTTCTTCTTTAAAATGACTACTAAAAGTACCGTAATTTTCGGACTATAAGCCGCGCCTTTTTCCCCATTTTTCGACGCTGCGGCTTATATAACGGTGCGGCTAATCTATGGATTTTTACAGCTAACGGCCACTAGGGGACCTCCTAAATCTATGGATTTTACAGGTTACAGTCCACCAACTTTAACTCTATGGGCTCTATGGCCGGTCCGCGCCCCCCACCTTTAAGCGGCGGGCTCCAGCAGGAAAAGCTGGAGGCCGAAAAAGAGTGAGACAGGTAGCGCGCAAAAGTAAAAGTGGAACCGAGAGTGGTACGAGAGACAGAACGAGAGCAAGACAGACAGACATTACGAGAGCGAGACAGTTTGTCCCCGTACCACTGGTTGAAAACCGCTGCTGTAGATCACTGCCGGTACGTGCGCTGGGAGCGCACAGTTTAAGTTTGAAAGTTGAAAAGTTTGTGTGTCTGAAATGCTATGTGATACAGTACAGTTTACACAGCACAGTACATGTTCTGTAGCTACTATTGCACTAAATGGTAACACTTGAATACGTTATGCAAATATGCAACTTGTTTGTTGAAATGTTAATAAATGGGAGCTTCCTCAAACAGCCATCTCTTTCCCGACAATCCCCTCTGTGCACGAACCCTTACATATGGTAATTAAACATTAAAACACCTGCGGCTTATAGTCCAGTGCGGCTTATATATGTACACATCATTCAATTTAGCTGCTGCGGCTTATATTCAGGTGCGCCTTATAGTCCGAAAATTACGGTATATATTCCAATAACGTGTCACGGAGTCGCGATAGGTCTGTCGAGGACGCCCCCTGTGTGATTTCACAACCCAAAGACCAAGAAACACCTTTACCAATGTGAACCGGATGTCTAAATTGAGGACGTAACAAATCAGAGTAAAGCTACCTTTGATCCACTAAACATGAATTTACGACAAAACGCCCAACTGTAAGTTCCATGGTATCTCCATGTGAACCAATTGTTCAGTGAAATGGAGAAAGACAGACATGTCACAACATGCAAATACCGAAGGACTAGCTAGGACTGAACTACAGATCACGACGACGGACAGCAAGTCTGAGAGACTAAACGAAAGGCAGTTAATACGACAGCTATTCACGAAGTCTAGCAGTACTATCGTGACCTGAAATGCACTTATCGTCTCTTGTCATATGTACAATTGCGAGGCGACTCCGACTACGTCTTGCACGTGAAGCAACGACTAGAAGTGGTATTCACGATGTCAGAGAGACCTCCACGTCCGTCGCGTCGGCGGTACTACTGTCCGGACGTCCTGCCACCTCTATTTGCTCCGTCAGCACCTGGTGCTGTCCTCGAATACAGCCTTGTTTCGACGTCGTCGTCAATGACGTTCCGTCGTTAGTCCAGTCAGTCAATATTAGACAAGATGTGTCATCCAAATTTCATGTGATTCAAGTAAGTCTGATACAAGGTCGGATTACATTAAGTGTACTATGGACAAAATATGTTCAGATCAGTCCTAACACGGGAAATGGTCTAAAACTCTTGTAATTAACTAGTTAGTAATATTTGTCGGTGTATAATAACTTTCGTTTGNGAGAGGACTCTTTAAAGTAGAGACACTACATACTGATATACACCTGAACATCAGCAGGAGAGGACTCTTTAAAGTAGAGACACTACATACTGATATACACCTGAACATCAGCAGGAGAGGACTCTTTAAAGTAGAGACACTACATACTGATATACACCTGAACATCAGCAGGAGAGGACTCTTTTAAAGTAGAGACACTACATACTGATATACACCTGAACATCAGCAGGAGAGGACTCTTTAAAGTAGAGACACTACATACTGATATACACCTGAGCTTTTCTTTCCTCAGGTGCTTTTGATCCGAACATCCCGGAGGAGGGACCCTCGGCGCCCCCTCCTGGCTTCCTGGATGATGTGCACGGATACCTGGGCCACAAAGGAGGTGAGTCTTTCATTTCTACCCTCTCTTGTTTTTTTCTTTGAACATTTCCCAAACAATAACCTCCTATATGTGTGTGTTTCTAGAGGGGGACCACCCGTTGTACCCGCCTCCCCCTGCCTACGTCCCGCAGCCTGAACTCAACAAGAACACCCTGGTGCCCGAAGTCAAGTAACACACAATCATTTATACGTCATGTTCAACATAACAGCACTGAGAGCACGTCTTCTCTGAGTCCGTTTGTTGTTTGTGTTTCATGTGTCTTGATGTTTGTCTGTTGATGTTACACATGGAGCTGCTGTGATGTGAGTCACATTTCAGACTTGATCTGACCAATAAAGTATCGTATCATATCAGATTATTTCGCTGATGATTCAGTGCTCTATCCTACCTAAATGTAACTGTATTTCCCTCAGAGGTGAGACCTGATCAGGGTGTTTCTTCTCCTTCAGGGTCCCCACAGTTTCAGAGGACGTTGCTAGAGAAGCCCTGCTAAAGTTTGTGGAATCAAAATGGCGCTACAGCTCCAAACCGGCCAGGAACATGGTCTTCAAACAGCTCAAACCCATCACCGTGTACAGGGTACGAGCACAGGTCTCACAGCATGGGCAATCATTTGGGTGGCGACACTTTTTATCAGATCAAAAACAACAAAACATATATTGTATTGCCACCCTCACACCATGCACTGACACTGTGGCGGCTTCATCTTCATCCTCATACTAAAAAACTAATAAATATGTCTTCCTAGTTGATTAGTTAAAGAAAGTAGTCAACTCGTAAGTAGAGATGTCCCGATCCGATCCGCGGAGAAAAAAATCGGGGATCGGGATTTCTTTTCTTTTCTTTTTTTTAAAATACTTTTAAAAAAATTTTTTATTCAATGTTACAAAACAAAATGACCATGTTCTTAGTTTTGGTTTCAAATGACACAACATCATGTATGTGTTGCTTCTTTGGGGCTTGTTTTCATAGACCTGCCTATTTCTCTCAAATCTGGCAACAGAGTGGGCGCAGTGTCTAATTGTAGCAGTAAGCTAACGAGTACTGAAAGCTTTATTTTGTTTTGATCCAATGCTGCACAACTGAACTGATCCAATGCTGCTGTCAAAGAAAGAAGCTATATCCATGTTGGATAGAATATCCAATTTAAATAAAAAAATAACCTTAAGGGACAACTTGAATGCTTTTTTTCCTCTTAATGCATTGCATAAAGATCGGATCGGGAAAAATCGGTATCGGCAAATTGTCAAAATCAAATGATCGGAATCGGATCGGGAGCAAAAAAAGGGATCGGGACATCCCTACTTCAAAAGGCACTTTCTGTTAGAGCACATTTTGGCACGACAAGTATTAGAACAAGTATATCAGGAGAAAAACAAAAGCTTCTCATATCTGTTAATAACACTCAGAGTGGTTTGGCTTGTTCTAAGTTTTTGTTGTTTTCAGTTTGTATTTTTATGGTTGATCGCACTTTGGATTGCGTGTAATTTAACGTAACAATTAGTAGAAGTAAATCCAGTCCGATATGGAGGATATGGAACAAATACTCAAACGGTTTGCCATGCTCACAGATTATTTAATGTGCACATGAGAAAATCAGCCAACTTTATAATTATTGTGGCGGCTCAATTCCCATTTCAATTTGAGTCGCCAAGAGGCTAAGTTTAGCTTCATCCTGTGACGCGTTTTCAATGAGAAAGTCCAAACTGAAGTTTAAGAAACAATATTTAATAAACAAAATCAAACACACAATAACGGTCAACAGAAAGAATGTCAGCGCAAACCACACCAAAGGGACGATTACCGGAAGTGTTCAACAAATACAAATAAAAGTGACGTAAAGAAATGATAATTATACAAATAATAGACTCTATAGCATTTTGGCTCCTGAGGACCGTTTGCACGAGAGATTGGCAAGCATTGATGAAAAGTTTGTTAAAGTTTCTGATCTGCATGCAAGTGTTGGGGTCATTTCATTGTCAGTAGACTAAGGGGGAATTTTGTACTTAAAGGTGGGGTAGGTAAGTTTCAGAAACCGGCTCGAGTGCACTAAAATGTGAAAGTACACATCAGCAGGAGAGGACTCTTTAAAGTAGAGACACTACATACTGATATACACCTGAACATCA